TAAAAACCAAAAACTATAAGATCTTTCTCTAGAGATCCATTTTTGGAATCCTTTGCACAATACGATTATTTAGCAATTGTAAGATATGTTAGACTTGAGTAATATATTACTATTAGTACAAATATTTTGACATGTAATGGATAAAATGAATGACATCCTGAGTGTTAATGTGTACCCTTTGGTTGGAGTTGAGTATTAAGGATGGATTAAAAGCAATCAAACAAAGCAGCGACAACATTACTACAAAGGTCTTTTGAATTCTTACTTCAAAGGTGATTTGAACCAGGTTGAATGGAAAACATGTCATTGTGGCTTCATCACGTACAATGTAGTTCTCGAAGCAAGTATGGAAGCTTCTAGCATGCTATGATCATTTATGCATGGGCAATATATCTTGATCTTTCTGTTACATTTTCATTTAAACCCGAGTGGCTCGATATCCATTACATGGTTGATTAGATAAATACTACTTTTAGGAAAGATCCTATTCATTACATGGTTGATTAGATAAATACTACTTTTAGGAAAGATCCTAAAAGAGTTGATGTCATTGCAAGAGTTTTTAAGTTGAAGCTAAATCAATTGTTGAATGAGAATTGTTTTGAGAAGACATGCCCATATAAGTTATATTCTATAGGATTACTTTAATCATTCTTTACTCATGAGTTGTTTGGTAATTATTTTTCAGTTTAGATGGTTATTGATAATTTCTTTCACTTTATGTGTTGGCAAATGAATTTTCAAAAATGTGATCTACCTCTTCTCATGTATTAGTATTAATATATGGAAGATAAATTCTATAGTCCTTTGAAAATGAATTCAATTCTATTTGATGAAATTTAATATCTAAGTAGATCTTGAATTTTATGAAGCAATTACCAATTTTATGCTACATGGCCTATATGGCATTCGATGACATAAAGCTCCATGTGCATCTAATAGTGCATGTTCCAGAGATCAATGAGCAAACAACTACTTATGACAATGATTTTCCAAGGTATCAGCGTCGAGAAAACAACCAATCAATCATGGTGAGTATGGTCTCACTTGATAACCGGTTCATTGTTCCTTATAACATGTACCTATAGTTACGATTTCAAGCTCATATAATACAGGTGATAATGAAACAAAGCAAATTGTGGAAAATATTCATAAATTGTACGAGGTAAATTCTAATTTAGTGAAAATGGTGCTTTATATTTGATAATATTTTACAATTAATTTTTTTTAATTTGATCAAATGAAGGAGAAGAAAGAAGAAATCATTGGAATACAATAGAGTAAGGAAGAGACAACTGATAATTGATATAGAGGTGCCAGTGTCATTAATGGAGTTGAATGCGTTGTTATTGATGGAGACTATGATTTGCTCATGGCAGAGGAAACCAAACAAAGCCAAAAAAAATATGCAGTAATTTCTATCAAAGTGGAGTAAATAGAAGTGTCATTTGAACAATTTTTTAGGAGTTGGCTCCTTGGTTCTAAGTCTGTCTTTTATGTTAAGGATTTTAGCTCATGAACTGGTTAGGATGTTAGTAAATACTATGATGTTAATCCTTTTGAATGTTACCGATTACTAAATAATATGGATTCTCTTATGCTACCAAATAAAAATGTATTTCGCTTGACTTTTGCTACTCATTATTTTGTTATATGCAAAATGACTCCAACCAACTGGCCAAGTCCATAAAACATCGAACAAATTGCTATTGTGATAGAGCCCGGAGATTAGGGTTCTATCTAGAGATTGGGATTGAAGGGATCAATTAGGGATTGATCCCTTGTGTCACAGAAAATGAGGGGATGAAGGGGGTTTGGTTTGGACGAGGAAGAAGGAAGGGGAGGGGAGCTGATTTAGGACGAAAAGAAGAAGGAGGGGAGGAAGGGTGGTGCAGCAGCCACTTGGGAAAAGGGGGAAGGGTGGATCGGCAGAGAGGCAGAGAGGAAGAGAGAGAGAGATTAGAATGCTAGGTTTAGGGTTTAATCTTTTGCTTAATCCCTTAATTCCACGTACAAGTAGTTTATATAAAAAATGGGCTAAATTACACGTTTGGTCACTCAAATTACATAAATGTTTCATGTTTGCCACCCGAATTATTTTTCTTTCTTATTCGCCACTAACTTTACTAATCGTTTCAACATTAGTCACCGACCGTTAGTCTCCGTTAAATTCCGTTAACTCCGTCAGTTTTTTGATGACGTGGCAACCATACAGCTGACTGGACTATTAATTTAATGACATGTCAATTTAAAAAAATAAAACAAAAATAGGAGCGGCTACACCTACCCATCGTCTTCTCCGCCTTCCCCAACCCCAGCCTTGAACTGGAAAACACAAACCCTCAAATTGAGAAGAATGGTAATAAAGCACAACACATACAACAATTAATTGAAGCATAAGAAGCCAAAATTCATTATAATCAAAATCCCCAAACACGAACCCTAAGAACCCAGAAAGTAGAAGACAATCGTCAATGAACCTATAAGATGTAAAGACACAAACTCTCTCCCGCAGATGGAATTATGAAGCCGCATCCCAATCTCCACGACGTCGACCTTATTCTTAGTCGCCCCTATATCCACTACTCCGACTGCGACTATGTTCCCCTCACCGTCGCAGAGACCTCTCTCGACTTCGCCCAAGTCTCCACCGACCTCCCTAATGACGTCGTCTTGCTCCATCCTCTTCTCCCCAAACACCTTTTCCTTGAACATCGGCGACCCTCCCTCCATCAACCTATAGCACTCACACCGGAGGAAGGCGAGTAGCGACTCATTCCCCTCCCTCAATCGACAACAACAAAAACTGACGGAGTTAACTGAGTCTGACGGAGACTAACGGCCGGTGACTAACGGTGGAACGATTCGTAAAGTTAGTGACGAATTAGAAAGAAAAGTAATTCGGGTGGCAAACATGAAAAATTTATATAATTTGAGTGACCAAACGTGTAATTTAGCCTAAAATTAGTGACCCCACCCAAAGCAACACTTAGTGAAGCCACCCTACAAAATCAAAGAACGCTACCTCTAAAGAGGACAGCAAAAGAGCTTTAGGTGCCACTCTATGGGCAGCTCAGTTGGCAGTCCGCAGAACCACACTAAAAACTATACAAAGAGAGCATGAAACTAGGAGCCGATGACACTCTTGGAGCAGTGAGCCGCCTATCGAATCTTCCACTGTTCTACGGTCCAGTTGCCGAATTACCACTTCAGGATCACCTAGCAGCAAGGTGCTTTGCTAGATAGGGATCGAAAACTCCTTGGTGCTGAGATCCCATGCCAGTAGAACTTGCCCGTCTGTCCCATGTAAGACGAGGCCAGATGAGCAACCGGAACGACAAACTGCAGCATCAAAGTTGATCTTCACAAAGTCTGGAGGCGGGCGATGCAAAACGGAAGGATGAGAGGGCACAAGACTGAGAGAGAGGTCCTGGGGGCTGAAGGCTAAGGAAAGTTCAATGACTTGGAAATGGAATTGACGGGCAAGAGAACGGGTGTGTGGCTGAGTATATTCAAAAACCACTTTGTTAAGAGATTTCCAGATTCTCCGAAAAGGCAAACGCATGGGAGAATGTGAGTTTGGAAGTTTACTGAAAACATAACATTGTCGCCACCATATACTAAAGTTCGAAGTTTGGGCGGAAGCAAGGAAATCACTTAATCCCACTAAAAGTCCATAGCACGATGACAAGAGGGCAATGAAAGAACAAATGTTCAATACTCTCTTGATATTCTCAACAATCTAGATATTTGAGAAAGCAATTTACTTCAGGAAATTAGGGAATTGAAGAGCCAACATAGTTTGCAATGTCGTTTAACATAATACAAATACAATTTAAAATAATACAAACCGTTCTTAGTGGAAAGTCACATCCGCTAATCACCCACTCTTCAACTTTGTCGTGATTTATTAACCCTAATTAATTTTCTAACAAAAAATATTTGTCATAACAGTTGGCAAAAACCCAAAAATTGAGTTTTAGAATTCACATTCTACTACCGATGGGCCTCAAATTAAAATGGATTGAAGGAGATGTCATCAATTCTAATAAATTGAGCTAATGGCTCATTAAGTTAATTGTTGGCTAAACACAAAAAAGAATCGGAGTTAATTATTAATTAATGACGTTTTTAACCACAACCCAAAATAACGGGCGTCTTTCAATCCGACGATTAAATGCTCATAAAATCCCAACGGATGAAGCTTTTTCGATGAGGATGAAGTTTGGGTCACTAATACTTTGAAAGCAAGAAATTAATTCTGAAAATCAGAAATTAATTCTTTCTATCCCATAATTTGAGATATAAAGCAACCATAAAGGTCGTAAAGCGCCATAAAAAGATCGCTTTAGTGACTCATTAATCACTTGTAACGGATCATTAAAGACCCAATAACATCAAATAACGTAACTGATGTATTAAAACCAAATAGGGCGAAACGGACCAATGAGGCCATTAATTGGTTCTTAACTTCTCGCCTGAGGAAAATTGATTGCAGGGATCGCCGGACCAACAAAGTCGCCGGATGCAAGTGTTTCCAGTTGGCGGAGGAGCTTCTCAGTTGACCGGGATTCCAAGCTTGCAAACAATTAGAAATGAAGCTAAAAATATCCGCACTAGAGTACACTCAGTTCATTCTCCTGTTAGTTCCGCTGGGATTCCAACCAAACAGTAACAAACGTTTAACGAAAGAAAAGACCAAATTGAACTTTTCCTCTTCCTTCAATCAGCCAAAACTAAAAGGAAACTGCAAATCGAACAGTTCATAGTTGATTTGATCTTTCATTTGAGGAAGGAAGAGAAGAATGGAAGTAGAAGGGAGCCCCGTAATGAGGGTGCAAAGCATCGCACAAGCAGGGGAATCGGAAGTTCCTCCGCAATACATCCAGCCTCCCACAGAGCGACCGAATAACCACTTCTCATTTATAATTAAATTCAAAAAGAATTCTTAAATTCTATGAATCAAAGCTCTGATTTTGTAATTGGGGAAAAAACAGAGCATGATTGCAGGGGGAACGGATACAACCACCGTAACAGTAACATGGGCGATCGCTCTTCTACTAAACCACCGCCACGTACTGCGCAAGGCGCAGGAGGAACTCGACGGCGTCGTCTCGAAGGAAAGAGCGCTGACGGAAGGGGACATCGGGAAGTTAATTTACCTGCAATCCATCGTTAAAGAGACGATGAGAATGTACCCGCCGGCGCCTCTGTTGGCGGTGCGGGAGTTCGTCAGGGACTGCGACGTGGCAGGTTACAGGGTCCGGAAGGGCACGTGGCTGATGGTGAATGCATGGAAGATTCAGAACGACCCAAGCATGTGACCGGAGCCGACGAGATTCAAGCCGGAGAGATTCCTGACGGCGGAGTATCTGATGTCCGTGGCAATGAAGGGGGAGAGTGGAATGCTTGTCTCCGCTCCACCTAGCATCGGAACCTTTGGAATAAGATTGGCAATTTGGAATCGTGTTAAGGCATAAGCAACAACAAACCTAGATTTTCAAATTCCCTGACGCAGACAAACAATATTAGCACTCTCATTTTAGAACAAATGCAGCCATGTAATGGCGGGGTGAAGCTCGTATATAAATTGGCTGCAACAGATTCATCGAAAGCTGCACTATCATGGGGCATATGAAGAAACATCGCATGATGCTTAAATCCATATAACGATACACAACGTAAGTTCCAGCCACGATGATCTTCTGAAGCAGTATGGCATCCTATGAAAAAAAAAAACAGAAACAAAATGCCTAACCAGAACCTGACATCCGGACTTGACTATGCAGGCGTCAGATTGTTATACTGCCAAATTACCAGCTGATCATCCACCGGGAGCAAGGGCAAGGGAACTGATAAGATGATGCAAACAGTTTGGTACTCCAAAGTAGTGATGAAGGCCACAATTCCAACACCTATTTGTCGAGTCAATGAGCCACGCAGAAACTGATATCAAAACTTTGTTTCTGTTGCAGATTCTGACTTAGCACACACCCTGGGGTTTCAGATTCATCTTTCTCTCGAATGTTTTTACCGCACTGCTAATCACTATGGTACCTCCCGAGAAAGATCCTCTAGCCTGAAAGGAACACAGAAACTTAGTGTTAGACATCCTGGAGCAAGAATGAGAAACATAAAAAAGAGTAAGAAATCTTCTATCCAATTATGATGTTGAGCATACCTTGCTAGCAATTGTGCTGGAGAGCCAATTCAGTCCTTCCTAGATTGGAAGTCCTCTGGATTTACCTGCAACAGACAAAAGATACAGCTTCCCTATCACCACTACCAAGTATTCAGCTACTAATTTGGAAGAACGAAAAGAAAAAGCAAGCATTCAACTAGAATAAGCAATCTTGTGTTTGAGATATGGAGATTCAATTGTAGTTGATATGAAGAGTTCTACGCTCTTCGCAGTTTTACTCAACTCAAATTAATAAAACTGGTGGTTATAAACCAGTGGCAAAGAGCTACACTATCATTTTGCAGCAGCTAGATAGTTGATCTGTACATTTGAACCTAGAATGTTCCTCAGAATACTGCTCAATACCAAGATTGTGTACATAAGTTACAACTTACAACACTTCAACAGATAGCTCTCCACAAGTTACAGTGCTACAATTAGTTTGCACACACAAATCCAAGCTGATTGAATCACAAGTCTCCAATTTATCATTTGAAGCTCATAGGGGTTCATCTTCCTCATCGAATTCTGCTTCATTTGTTGGTCTGAGTTTCTTTGCATCTCTAGTTCCCATTGGTGTTCTTCCCTTCTTTGGCTTCCCCCTGAAAAGGCTTTGCAAACTCCATTTAAGCAAATCATTTTCATACATTTGGAATCTGGGAAGTCTACAAATAAGCTTTGTTTCTACATGTTTCTACTAGAGATGGGGTTTTCTCTGAAGTTAAATACTTACTGCCCATTTGCTGGCAAGATTCCTCCTTTAGCCCGATTTGAACCAAGATCAATTCTTCCATCTGTAACGAGTAAAAAAGCAGGATGATTTATTAAACTTCTCAGTTTATTAGAGAGCATAAAAGCCATTCATTCAGTCTCGCCAAATAAGTACAGAGCTTTCTACGTGGTTCTCTGTTATGGAATACTTTTGGCGCAATTTTACAAACTGCATCAAATGACTTGATGGCAAACATATCTACAAAGAAGAGGAAGAAGAAGAAGTACCATCACGGCCAATCCCAAGTTCTTCAGCCTGCAGATCAACAAACGAATCATCACTACTAGTCTTACAAACTTTGCATCTGCTTGATGAGCCAAAGCACAAACCAGATTAGAACAATCACATTATCAACGTATTGGTACTCCGGCTACAGTGAACAAGAATAGACAGTTTGCTTGTGTTTTCTTTGGAAAGGAAAGATACATAATCAATACTGCATCAGCATAACCAGCTTAAGCATCAACCAACCTTAAGGAGCCGATGACATAAGCGCTTGAATAAAAAAAATCATTTCACTTCTTTGGAAACTTGAACATACAGTTTAAATGCTTGAGAGTTGAGACTTATCACTTATTCAAACATACTTGAAAACATCAGCTTTTTAATGTAGTCCCTAACCGAGGCATCTCTACAACATAACCAGGGCAGAAGCTCAGTTGCTACTATTACTTCCTCATAAGCTGAAACGTATAAAGTAAGCTACACAGTAATGTGCAAAGGGCAGTTACACCATCATCAACAAGTGAGGATTTAGAAACCAACCCGCAGCGAAATACACAATGACTGGGGAAATCTGAAACTTACTGCTGGCGAGGTAACTGAAGATAACGAGAAGAGTCTGTCTTCCGCCTGCAGTTTCCTAGATCTCTTTAAGCTGCAAGATGAGTTCATTGAGTAAAAGTTGTTACATTTATGTCCAACAAAAGAAAATCAAGGAATTCTGAAACCAAAAATCAACTACACTGGTAGTGCATGCACTAACTTCCTCCGTTTTCCACTCCCAATTACTTCATAGTCCTCCAAAACCACGGATTCATCCAAAATTCAAGCTCTAAACATACAAGGATATAATTGATGTTGCATAGGCACACACACACACTAAGCAACAAACAAATAAACCAAATCAATCAATTACTTGGAGGAATTCTTTGAAGAAGACAGAAACCCTTCGAAACCTTTCAGCATATTCCCGAAATGGCTCGAATCTTGCAAGTAGCTGGTTTCGTACTCGTACACCTGCAGTCAAATTTTCACAGCTCAAGTTGGCATAGCCTCAGCAGTCAGCTCAACCAAGGACGAGAATAGAGGAAACCCAGTAAGCGAAATGGTAAAAGACAACATTTTTCAGGATTGGGACCTGTTTCTCGATGGTGCGGAGCTCCTCCTGCAGCTTCTCCCGCTTTGCCACAAGGGAAGAGAGCATGGCCGCCGGATTCGGACCAGCTTTCTGCCCGGAAGGCATAATTGGATCTAATTAAACCCCTCCCCGAAGAATTGGGTAAGAACTGAGGAACCCCGAATCCGGCTCAGGGGGGATTAGGGTTTTCTGGGAACGGTTACCTTTGGATTATACAAATGGCGCGGAATTTGAAATCTCAGAGACGATAAGGTTGGACCGGACGGCAGTAAACTAATCCGATTAAAATGGGGGAAAACAAACACGAACTCGAGAATCGAATCCGACTAAGGGGAATCGAACCTTTAAAATTGTTTATGGCGGAAAAGTAGAAGCCGGCGGAAGGTAAAGGAAACTGGGCTGTATGGGTTGGATGGGTGGGTTTGTTCCGTTTCGTTCTGCGGAATTCAAATCTTTGGCTGGTCCGTCTGGTTGGTGTTGGGGAATGGAATGGATAGATGGACGCACAATAATGGATGCTGAGCAATTAAACTTGTTCCATAGCCGAAATGCCTAATTAATCGTATGTACGGGGGCTTGAGTTATGGGTTATGACGGTTATTAACATGGTTGAAATTAGGGCACGAAGTTTGGTATCGATATTTGGGATATATTGAATACCATACCGAATTTGTTTATATTTGATATTATCGAATACATGTATTATTTTTTGGGATTGGGATTCAATTTCAATTGTTATTCGGTATTAAAGATTACGGGATTGGGATCGGTATATACCAAAATACCGAACAATACCGAAATATAAGCTAGTGAGTATTTTATCCTCCCAACTAGACTCTCTCATTCACTACTACACTACCCTCAACCCCCAATCGATTATTATTTTCATAACACCAAAAAGCAAACACTAGTATTAGTCTTCTCTCAGCCTCCCATTCGTCAAATTAAAAATTACCAATGACAAAAACTTTAGATGTCACCTCTACTCCATTCTCCTTATCCATATTCTAGCCCTAGTCAAACTCAAAACTCTTGTTTAGTCTCTTTGTTCTATATTAAACAATTAAATCTAATTTATATATTTAATTATTAATTGTAAGGGTAATTAAGTTCGTATTTGATAATACAGATTGGGATATCGAAATATTTAGGGATTGGGATACCAAAATTATTTAGGGATTAGGATTGAGATTGATTATAGGGTGTAATTCGGTATTCGAGATTTTGGTATTTGGTATTCGAATACCGATATCGTGCTGATTTCCACCCCTAGTTGTCATGATGCAGATTTGAACTCGCCAATTAATTGTATGTAAAAATTACAACAATAAATTACTAGAATGAAAAAAATTAAATGAAAATAATACAATTTCATGAAAGTATTATGTATGTATGATAAATATCAAATATGTTGAGAAAAATAATCATCATTTTATAAATAAAAAAACACATATGCATGTGTATAATTGGACGGGTTCAGGACAGATAGCGAGAAAATCATACCCATCCATCAACTGTAATATTCGGGTTCGAATTTTACCCATATGTCGATACCCATTAAAAATCCATCCAAATGAATAGTTTTTTCATGATTTCCATAATTTATAAGATAACAACATAAAAGAAGAAAAAAAAGATAGTCATACTAAGCAACGCCTAAGAAAATGGATTAATGACATAAATATTATATTTTTTGTAATTTACCGTTAATATGGCTGATTAAATAGTATTTACACAGTTATTGTGTTTTGGAGAGCAAATTCGGCGAGAACGCCTCAGACTCAGGCGCTGCCGCTATTTATGTTTTTTTGGATCATTTGATTAAGATGATAGCGGCGGCGCCCAAGACTGAGGTGGTACTGCCAGAGACTGAGGCAAGTTGGTGGGAATTGGTACCTAGCGATGGCGCCCAGGACTATGGCGAGTCCGCTGGCATATTGCTGGCTACTCCCTATAAAAAACCAGCGAATTTCATTTCAATTGCTCACCACAAAAAAATCGACAAAGTTAGAGGAGGAGAAACTCTGGTTGCTGCGGCAGAAATGGCTAATAGGTAAGAGACACATTTATTTTTTAATTATATTCTTCAAATGCTATTATGATTTTGTTTAGTTAATTAGTGAGTTTGTTTTTCTGTAGTGATTTTAGAAGATTTGAACTAGTCGTTCGGTGGAAATCGAAGAAAGTAGAGGATAATTTGGGCGTCCAGTTCGTTGGTGGTAGTAGTTTTTAGTTGACAATTCCATCCAGGGTGACATATCACAAACTTTGTGAGAATCTAATTCCGAGAATACAATGTAGAGACGAAGCAGTACAAGATAGTGATGTGATCATAGGTTTCACTTACCGTCTTCCAGAATGGCAGAATGGTGTTTTATTTCATTATGCGATGCCTATTATGGATGATAATAGTTTGAATGTGCTTTTCAATTTTATGGCACAAAACCCTTATTGTTTGGGTGCTGAGATACATGATGATCTCAGTGAGAATCGGGATGGAGAGGAAGGAGATGAGACGTGGAGCATGTCATCCGATCATGACGATGTTGACGGAGAGGAGGAGGACGAGGACGAGGAGGATGGTGAAGGAGAGCAACCTAATTATCCTCCATATTTTTACTTGCAGGGTAATGAAGAGGACGACGGATTATCTTATGCTGATTCATATGGCGTAATTCCAATGCCTATTGTTGCTAGTTTTGAAGGAGAATTCTACAAGGTGCAGATATTTCACTCGAAACAAGCTGCACAGGTGGCGATTAAATACCACTCACTACAACGCAACTTTCAATATAGCGTGGTGGAGTCGTCACCTTCAATCTGGAAGGTCAGATGCTTGAAGCACAAGGATGACAATTGTCCTTGGATGGTGCGATTTGGATGTCGAGATGTTGGAAGCGATTGGACTGTGAGAAAGGCCGAGTTGGTGCATTCTTGTAGTAGTACGACTCAACCGACGGATCATCGCCATCTTAATGTCAATATTATTTATGAGTCCGTCAAACATTTGGTACGTGCCCAACCAAATCTGAGTGTTCCAACTATGCAGGCCGAGTTGAAAGATAAATTTAATATGCAAGTTACTTAAAAGAAGGCTTGGTATGGGAAACAAAGAGCATTGGAGAAGTTGCAAACATTCTTGCGGGTGATAAAGAGAAAAATGCCAACATCAGTGATTGATTGGGTAAGAGTTCCTTCAGCTCAACCAGGTCATTCGATCTTTCAACGAGTATTCTGGGCTTATGGACCTTGTATAGATGGATTCAAGAATTGTCCAGGAGTCATGGTTGTTGATGGAACATTTCTTACTGGAAAGTAAAAAGGAGTGCTTCTCATGGCAAGCTCATTTGATGGCCGGAAGAAGATTTTTCCAATAGCATTTGCCATCATGGAAAGCGAGAAATACTGAAAGTTGGCCATGGTTCATAAATCACGTTCAAGGTTTGACCAATCGAAATGATGTCTGCATCATCTCAGATAGACATGTGGGACTATCTGAAGCCATGAGTGACATCAGAAGAGGTTGGGAATGGAGGTGGTGCATGCGACACTATGCAAGCAACTTGCAAAGAAAGACTAAAAGCAAAATTATGTATAAGCAACTATTTCGAGTCGGTAAGCCTTCTTCATTTAATTTTGTTATTTATTTTAATGTATTAATTTTGTCATGAATTTATCTAACTCGTGTGGTTATTTACTTTGTTAGCCGAAGAAAAACGCTTGGAGAAGTTCGATCGTCAAGTTGAGCAATTTAAGAAGGTCGCCGCTGATAGGAATATTTCTTGTGATAACTGGGCATCGATGGTCTATCTTGACATCCAACATGGCAGAGAGCATCAATAGTGTTTTCAAAGGTATTCGTTCATGTGATGTCTCGATTTTGGATTTAGGTTCAACATCAACTACCAGGAGAATTGGATCAACATGACAAGCCGAATGGGCATTTTGTTTCACCATGTTTGGATCAAGCTGGGAAGTAAAAAGGGCAGTGAGACACTAAGGTTACACGAGTGCTGCAAGCTAGGGAAATTTATTTGAGAAAAAGGTACCAAAGAAGTTGTTATAGTAAGAATATATAATCGTGGGAAGGAAGTATAAGAAGGGTGTTGATAGAAGGATGAGTTCCGAGCAAATTTCGGGGACGAAATTTTTGTAAGGGTGGAGGAAATGTAACACCCCGGTATTTTAGAGTTAGGTTCGACTTTAAACGTGATCGGTTGAATTGACGGTTACATACTAAGAGTTACAATCGCGGATTAAGAATAATAATATAATAATATTATTATTATAATAATAATAATAATTATTATATTATTATTATTATAACATTAATTATAAGAAAAAACACACATGTATATATTTTTGGGAAGGGCCGAGCGCCCCAACCCTCAAAAAACTCCCCATCTCCATAAATCCCCCCCAGTTGTTCCCCGCCGCCCTCTCCAAGTATTTTGCCAAAGAAATACCTCCGCCCCCTGCTCCTCATCGCGGGCGAGAGGAAAATTCCGACCTCAATTCCGATTCTGATCCCAATCCGAATCTTATCTCTTTCGTATTTCTAACGGTGACGTTGAGGGTTCGATCAACAAAGAGATCAACGTCCCGGGTCATTCAATCTAGTTCTAAGCACGTTATAGAGGTTTCCCAAGATAATCTGGCTAAGGAGGCAGGGGTGAAGCTAGAGCAGTGGCCGGGGGGGCCATGACCCCCCCGGGAATTTATAGAAAACATTGAAGTATAGGTATCTCCAATAAATGAACATGTATAATAGTTGTAGTGCAGTGGCAAAACTCCAAGTTTGGTAATGGGAGGTTGCATGTTCGAACCTTGTCTCCTGCATCCCTACCCTTATTTTTTTGCACCATTTATTTTTGTTGTAATTTAATTAATTTTAATTAACAGCTGCTCCCAAAAACGAGAACAAAGCCCTAAGTGCTAAATCCCAATTCCATTTTCGGCAAAAAACGAGAACAAAGCCCTCTTCCTCGCGTAGGGCTTTCCCCCAAAATTCTCCCGCCTCGTCATCCCTCGTCATCTCCGTTCACTCGCCGGGACTCCATACTCGACTTCTTCGGCCAATCTGAAATTGAGCTCGAGTTTGGATCCTAGCAATGGATATAAAGCCTTCGCTGCTAATGCTATTTGCAGTCTTGCAGAAAAGTATTATCCTTTGGATTTTTCTGAGAAAGAAATAGATAGATTGGCATTCCAGTTGAGGATTTTTCATGGTGCTGCTCTTGCACATCCTACTTTGGCGAATCTATCATCTGTTGCTGAACTGTGTCGTGATTTAGCCGAGTCCGGGAAGTCAAAGGACTTCGATCTTGTTGATCGCCTGATTCGTCTTGTTTTGACTCTTCCAGTCTCTACTGCTAGTGGGGAACGAGCTTTTTCTGCCATGAAGTTAGTGAAGACCAAACTGCGCAACAAAATGGGTGATGATTTTCTAGCCGATGGTCTTATTATTTATATTGAACGTGATATAGTGGACACTTTTAGTTTAGATGATATTTTGAGTGATTTTATTGATCTCAAAGAGCGACGTGTACGTTTAAGATAATAAATAATATTAATATATTTTATATTATTACTATTATTTTATTGGTATGTTTGGAAATTTTATTTTTGGCCCCCCCGGATTTAGAATCCTGGCTTCGCCCCTGTAAGGAGGGGTTTCTTCGAGGAAGGAATTGAGGAGTCAGCTTTTCGAGGTGAGTGTAAAGGGGGTAAAATCTATGTCGTAGGTCTTTTAGTTTATGCTTTTCGTTCAAGTTATTATTTAGTTAATTTTTGAGTAATGCGCGATATGTGTGTGAGGCATCCCACCGCCTGTAAGGGTGGAGGCACGCGTTGTGTTGAGATTGAGAATTTTGCCCAAGTGTTGGGGTTTTTCGTTAAAAATTCTTAAATAATATCAGTTTGTTTATTTTAAAATGTGGTTTGGGTTGCTCCGGAGTAACCGTTTTTTTTTTGTTTGAGTTGTGGTTTGGTTTCAAAAAGGATCGGGTCGTGTCAGTTCACTTCCTATAGCTTCTCTTATGCAACATACTTATCGGCGATTGTTGGAGAAATTCGATAAGATGAGATTGGAGACATAAGCACAAATTAGAAGTGGTCGTTCACAGTACACCATCAAGTGTGAAGAGATGATAAAGCCATGGTCACAAAAGGAAGTTAGACATTCCGTGACGGAGGTTGATCGATGTCAAGGCATCTATGTAGTTCAGACTCCTCCCAACAATTTCAACATGACGGGTTCGAACACACTCACAGTGCACTTCGACGACAACAACCGGGCGGGATTTTGCAATTGTGGGAAATTTGAAGGAAATAAAATTCCTTGCTCTCAAGCCATTGCAGCTTGCAACCGAATGGGGCTAATCCGTATAGGTTTGTAAACGATGTCTACAAGCTTGAAACAGTGTTGGCTTGTTATGGGACAAGTTTCACACCTCTTGGTGAACCTAAGGGTTGGAAGAAGCATAATGGTCCTATTCTCCATCCTAACGTGCACATGATTAGGAAGCCGGGGAGGCCACGAGTTACAAGAATTCACAACGAGATGGATTGGCCAAGAGAGGGTGTATCACAACAAGTGTGTAGCAACTGTAATCAAAGTGGTCATAATGCATCAACTTATGGTGGCCAAGCAAGTGGGAGTGGTAGCCAGTGAAGAGGAAGTGATGGCCAACGATGTGCGAGAGGTGGTGGAAGAGAAAGTAGTGGTAATAGACGTGGAATGTAGTTTGGTCAAATTTTTATCAAATGTAGTAGTTGTTATGGTTTGAAGTAGTTGTTGTTTTTCAAGTAGTTGTTATGGTTTGAAGTTGTTGTTTTTCCACTTGTAGGTTGTTGTTGTTGGGACTATTATAAAATGTCCGAGTTGTTGTTGTTTGTTATTTGCTGTTCCGAATATTTAAAGTTAATAACATAATACATGAAACTAAAAATAGGCCACATAAATATCCCAAAGAAGTACATAATAATAACATAAGAATCATAATAGTCTCACTAACGACCACCACGATGACCACCATGCTGATCCATTAGATGGCCGCCAGTACCACACCTCGCTGGCCGCCTGTTCCGTGGAGGCCTACCATCATAATGTTGGGGCTGATCTCCCTCGACACCATCATCCTGATCCTGTGTACCGAACATATCATCCTGTTGAGATTGAATCTGCTCCTCTACTACACCACCACCATACTGTCGCGCCAGAAGCTCCTGCTCATAAGACCACATCATTTTCTGAAAGGTCTAATCACCCTCTAGATCATCCCACAGGTCTACATGTGAGGCTGATCTGGTATCACTACCTGAGGTCATGTATCCGCCTTCCATGATAGCATGCTACGGTGTATGAAAGCTATCCTCTAGTGGATGGAAGCTCGAAGAAGGCACCGAGTGAAACTGCGGCTGAGGAGGAGGATGAAAGGCTGAATGAGGTCCTGCCTGAAATCCTGAAGAAGTGGTGCCTGTCTGATGTTCCGAATAAGTGCCTGGATGAAATGGCGGATTAAACTGGAAGGTCTGTGTAGGCCGGACGGGCTGTGCTTGCTGTTGATCTGAAATCCGAACTGGGTTAGGTACATCACGATGCTCACGTCGCTGTCTACGTGGCCTATGCTCCTGTCTGAACTGTGACTCCGGGACTACCCAGTCCAGTGTCGGATCAGTACGCTCTGGCCAGGCAGCCATGCTGGGCTGCTCATAAGAAGGCTGTACAGGTACTGTAACATTAGGATACCTGCGCCGATCAAAACCTAAAGTAGCAACCCCTAATGCCATCATGTTGGCCAACTCCTCCATCTGGTCGGTGGACATCCCTCCAGTCCGTACTCCATCACGTAAACTCAGCTTCGCATGCTCCAAAGTGTTGTACTGAAATTTAAATTGAAATGTCAAAGATTTCACACGGTTAAGAAATTCAAGACAAATACCAAAAAAATATTAAACAATAAATAACTAATCAATGCTTCCACTATAGCTCCTCTCCGTGTGCCTGAACGTCTGGTGACATCTCAATACCACTTCATATGCTCCGAGTGGTAGGCTAAAACCTCCTCACTGTATGGAGTCGTCGCTATGAACTCATGTTGACGGTTCCAAAAAGCAAGCGACTCTCTGGAGGCGTGTACCAACTGTTGCCCACATGATGGCCGACGAGTAGTCTGGCAAAAGAAAAACCTAGCCTCAGCCTCAGGATGTGGCGGATGTGGCGGATGAGGCTCAGGCTGCCTCATGCCAAACTTCCGGAGCACGCGGTCTGGATGGTGCCACATCATCGCTGAAAAGCATATCAGTGGCACTACTGCTCGAAATGTCTCAGACTGTATCACACTACCTCTGAGATGAAGTGCTCTCTCAACGTAAGGTTGCCACTACACACAAGAAACGGTCACGTTATTATCCCTAAATCTAAAACAAACAAATGAAAACTATTCTATAAAATGAAATGTTATATACTAACCACCATGGTTTCCATCTCGTCAAACCAGAATTTGTACGGGAAATGCTGGTCACCATACTGACGAGTGTTGACGGAAGCATCGAACACCACGTGGGGATGCATCCTCGGCAATATGCGCCCTCGTCTCTGAATGTTGCGGTGTCAGATGTGGGAATCGCTCCCACTCCCAGAGCTGCAGTAAGGGGACCCATACACCAAGGTTCCCTCCTAAAGAAGTGGAGGAATGTTGACACGCTAAAACACAACACCAAATTGCGACCAAGTATAATCGCAGTCCGGGAATGCAGTAGAGTAGCAAGTTCTAATGTCAACCCGAGGTCTAGATCTACTGCCTACTCCGTGATTATCTATTATCTAGCAAACTAAGTCGAGTGATTGTTGTTTTAACTAAAAGCAGGAAATGGTTCGGTTTTCTAAAGCAAAGGAAGAGTCACTCGGGAATGAGTCCCCCTAGCTCCTTAGTTAGGTCTCAATTGTAATTACCCTGGGTTGATTTACTGTTGATTAAACTGCGGAAGATCCTACAGTAGCTTGGAATCTCTTAAGCTGACCAAGCCCTCTCAGTCAAACTACCCGGCAGACGACTAGTCTTCACCGGAATAGAAAGCTGAGGTTATGAACACAGAACTCCACTATTGGAATTGGATTCCAGTACAAAGCAGTAGATTGACTAACTCTCGTATAACCAATCCACTACTACCGAATGATGTAGCTCTAACAACCTAATCAGATTCTATCTATCTCAGGTTGCAGCAGAAATCAAGAAAAGCTGATCAGACTTCAATCAATTCAATGAATCATGCATCATTCGATTATAATCAAGCAGTATAACAATCCCAAGTCATTACAATCAAAATCCCTAACACATGGAACTAGGGTTCTTCATACCCAAGTGAGAGAAAATTCTACTCCATAGAGAGAGGGGGGGAAACAGGATACAAAGCAGTCATACTCATAACAATGGGATGAATCTGCTCTGGGATGATGATTTTCACTCCTATGATGATCTCCAAGCTTGATTTGATGAAACTCAGCTCCAAAACCACTCTTAGGATGAGTTCTTCGCACTTTCTCTCTCTAGGGCTCTGTTTTTGCTCCAAAAAGTCGATTCCCTCACTTTTGGCTCGGAATTGGGTAAAAACCCAAATTTCCCGATCACACGGCCGTGTGGCTTACCCAGATGCCCGTGTGAGTTCCAAAACGCTGCATCTCGAATAATTGAACTTCAGGCTTCCCACACGGCCAGGGACACACGGCCGTGTGGAATTTCCATCATGCCCGTGTGTAGCCTCGCTAAATCCCACATGGCCACATGGGTGACTTGCACGGCCATGTGGGTTTTAGGAGCGCCCGTGTGGCCTCTTCAACGCCTCGCCACACGTCCGATCTTCATCCAATCGACCCCAAACTCGCTCCCAAGCCTTCATTCACGTACTAGGACCTGAAATATCACAAACAAGAACAACCTACGTGAAATCGGCCTAAAACACGAGAATCAACATCTCAAACGGTGTAAGAATTGGGGTAAAAACATGTGCAGTTAACGGTCTATCAAACTCCCCCACACTTAACCGTTTGCTTGTCCCCAAGCAAACCAAGTCAGACACAAAGTAAGCTCACATTTTCAACCATACCAACATTGGGGACAAATCATATAGGCACAGAACACGTGAATCGTACTTGCTTTCAACATCAACACATGAACAACTTCACTAGTAACCTGGACAACCACCACAAAGAACATTCGAGTGCAGCAAAATCGAGTAAAGGAAGAGTCTCCATTCTGTTCACCAACCAACATAGACTTAACTCAACCACTCACTCAAAACAGTCACCTCATGCACAAAACTCAAGATATCATAATAGAGACCGAGCAATCTAGGTCCTCACCGGGGTACAAGAGTGTATAGAATATGAGAAAATGAATCGCTCACTCTCGACCATTGGGGTCAGGACAATTTGATGCGAAAAATGCGCATGCTTATTCTCTCAATCCCTAACATCTCTTCACCATGATGGCAGCCTCTAAATGCTAGAGTTCACATATGGGGTGTCACCACTAACTAATCCGGAGGTCTTAGACACAGGTTCAAATGACTGGCTAGGGTCTTGGACATGGGGAAAAGGCCTTTTAGGTGGTGGAAATATTCATAGCACAAGGTTCCACATTTCCAAACCCACACAATCACAGTCAATCAAACCAGTATTTCCTTTCTGCCATTCTGCATTACTCAATTTCTCAAGAGCACAAGAGCGAAGGAGGTTATATAAATGTCAGCATTTCCAAGCCAGACTGCTAAGAAACACTACTTAATGGGCACTATTCAGATTTTTGGTAGTGGCTCTCTTTTGCTTTCATTTTTTTCTTTGTTTTTCTTTCATTTTTTTTTTCGTTTCATAAGAGAACCACCACCTCTGTACATTTTTCAAACACATGCCCAACTTTTAAGCACTACCTCCAACCCTCACATTAAATTTAGGAGAAACAGCAAAGAACATGTAAAAACCACTCTGTGGAACCTTCTAAAAGATGCAAAAGGGTGATTTTTCATTGTAGACCGAAAGAAAGGATAACACACGGCTCAAAGGGCTGACTAGGGGATATACACATCAGGACTAATCCTATGCCTCCATCATCTTAGCTAGTGACAACGTGAATTGCTACACATCATGGAAGAGGGATCTATCGCACAAGAAAGAAACGAGCAGGCTCAAATCTCACATGGCTACCTATATGCTCTATCTCACATTTTGATTCCCTGAACTAGATGCATAAACGGCTGTCAAGAACAAGTGATCAATCCAAGTCACAGTTGGTAAGCAAACAGTTGAAAAATCAAGCCCCTACACAATTCTACTGCACGTCTCAGTTATCATTATAGGTTGTCCTAGTCACAATCAAGCTTCCATGCATCAATCCGAAAACCATTCAATTCATCAATCAAAACACAATGCCAATATGATCAAACAGCAGTACTTGGAGCCCTCAAATCTTAAGATTCGGACAGCGGACTAGGCTCCAAGCACACATATATAGATTCCAACCGATACAAAGCACCCCCCCCCCCACACACACTTAAGCACGACATTGCCCTCAATGGAGTATAGGGAGAGATAAGGGGAACGATGTTACCGGATTGAAATACTGCCGGGGGACTGGAAGTGGACCAGTCAGCGGGAAACAAACAGGAAGATGGACAGTTCTGCACGAATCGAACATCAAGAACACACTAGCACACTGTGCGTTAGGGATCAGTAGCCCAGCCGGCCACAAAATAAACAATCCTCAAAAAGAAGAAAGAAAAACACAAACAAATGACAAACTAAGTTCAAGCTCCGCACACATGGAGCAAACACACAAAAGTCTGAAATGAAAACACACTCAGAGGGGCAAAGAGTACAGCCTACTCGTCGCCAAGGTTATACAGGTCGATGTCGTTCATGAAAGCGTCATCGTCATCCGCTGGTGGAGGTGGAAGTGGAGAGTCCTCCCAGGGAGTCCTCCAGACTGGCTGCTCACCCGGTAGCAGCTGGAGCAGGTGCTGCTGGACCTCCTGCATGCGCATAGATCGGGCCTTCTCTTGCTCGATATGAGCCAGTGTCACCCCCTGATGGGTCTCCATCATGTTCAGGCGCTCATCATAAGCAGCCATCCGAGTCTGATACTCGGCCTGATGAGCCGCATACTGCTGCTGGAACTGGATCTGATGGTCGAGGAGCTGCTGATTCTGGAGGCGCAGCTGCTCGAACTGGTGAGTAAAGTAGTCCTGACCGGGGAAAGCGGAGCTGCCACCCCCGTACTCGAAGGTGGTGGGGCGGGAGGCAGCAGCATCATTCACATCCTCGGGCTCCACATCATCAGCAGCCTCATCCTCCTGATCCTCGGGCTGGTCCTCCTCTAGGATCTGAGGTTCCAGAAACCCCTCGATCCACATGATGCCTCGGTTCTCTCGCAGCAGGTGCATGCGATGAATCGTATCTCTGCCAAAGACACTGGTGATCCCCTGCTCTGTGCACTCCTGCAGTGAAATCCCGAAGTAGGTGGCCAGGCGGGTGATGAGGGGAGTGCAGTGGAGGCTCTTCAATTCGGAAGCACTCTTCTCAAAGGTTCTGGCCACCACAGAACCCAAGTGGAGAGGATGGTCGTCCTGGCGGATAGACTGTATGAAGTACATGGCTCTCCTGGTGATGGCTCTGGCACTGTCCAAAGCTGGGGTGTAGGACTTCACCAGCAGGTGGTGGAGAATGCGGTTGTCGGGCTGCAGGGTGCTGGCCTTCGTCTTCCCTGCCACGAAGGGACGCTGGCCTCGCTTAGCAAGGCCGGTGTACACCGTCTTGAAGTTCACGCCCACCGGATCGTTGAGCTCGGTGACATAGTCCTCACCATCGGCCAGGCTGAGGTCGAGAGTGGTGGCCAGCTCGTGGTAGCTCATCGACCGGGGTACACCGCCGAGCCGGAACTTGACGGCTTCACCGTCTGTCCAATTCTCTGTGGATGCGTGCTTGAAGGTCGTGTAGAACTCCAGCACAGGCTCGTGGTAAACCTTCTCGCGGATGGAGAGCAGACGACGCCATGGGCGGTTGGTGACGATGGCGGAGAAGTGCTCGTAGCAGTGCAACTTCTCAAACTCCCGCCTGGACCAGCAGTGGTGCTGCCCAAACGAGCATGCCAAGACGTGCTTAAAACAATCCTCGTGCGGGCCCCTCTTCAAATCCCTGATGAACGGGTGCTTGAGGTCGGGTTTCGTCATGGTACTGCAAAAGACCAACCCAAAGTGGAACCAAAAGAGCCAAAGAAAAGGTTAATCACACCCCACACTTAAGAACAGAAAACAGGCTAACCATGGTTTCATCCATAGTTCGGGGGTCAAAAAATCGATCAATCAAGCATAATCGTAGTGGGGGTGCACATTCACGATAAAGTAGGCAACCTAAGGTTCACATCCATAGCAAATACACCCTCAAAGCACATCATTAAGGGCCCCAACCAGTGCTCACAACATGGCATAAAAAACAGGCATTTCATCGAACACCTTGTGTGCACTATTAAGGTAAACATGGAATTGACAAAATTCTTGCACACAAGGGCTCAAACAAGCAAGGGTGACATTGCCCAATACAATTCATACATAGTCCAAGCATTCCCCTCAATCAATTGCACACAATTCACATGATTCAAAGTGGTTCTCTAAACATGCACCCTAACACCCAATTCTCCATAAATAACATAGTTAAGGTCAAAATCA